GGTCAGGAGGATGTGCTGCCAGCAGGGCCAGAGCAACAGGAAAATTTAACATGCTCACTGCACTTACCCAGGAGCTCCTGAGTAAAACCCATACATATAAACCCCAATAAAAATAAAAATAAATAAATAAATACACACACACACATATATAAAACCCTATATATGTAAAAAAACCTCCCACACTATAATGCATCACCAAAATAGAGAATAACAGTTAAGTTTGAAAGTGGGATGGGAGGAACTTGGTTTAACCTCATTTGGTGATACTCAAGCAGTGACTATAGTTGAAAACCTGCAAACTTGACCTGACAGTGACAGCAGATGTAGAGCCTCTGGCCCTTCTGTATTTATCCAGTTTTATTTTTGGAATTAACAGACTTTTTGGATAGGTCTTAACATATTACTGTAAATATAGTAAGAGTGACAGATGTCAGAAGACTTTCTGTTGTACAGTGTGGAATTGACATAAGTTATATTTCTGTGTCTTTGACTTACACAAAGCCACCAATGCTTTCATTTATCTGTGCAGGTGATGTGGATGGATCTGTTGAAGCTATTCTGAACATTCTGGACAGCTATGATTGTGAGGATGAATGCAAACTAGATATTGTCTACTTTGGAATGGGAGATATCAGTGAAAACGATATCAGCCTGGCTGAAGCGTTTAACGGTGGGTGTTTCAAAATCAGTTCACAGTTTTGGAATTACTGACTTGCTGAAATGCACAGGCCTCAGGCAGGTTTTGTTTTCTCAATGATTATTAGGAGCATCAATGAGGTAAATTTTTGTGAATCTTGAAAATGTTTCCTTGAACATCAAACTGGTGCAGAAGGGGAGGCTCAAAGTCTCACAGAAATGGAAGGACTCTGGAAAAGCTCTTACCAGAAATTCAGTTGTTGAGGTTAAACTCTGGCTCTTCACTCAGGCTGCTTTATGATGCTGACACAGGGCAAAGCTAGAAAAGCAGGTTAGAAAATAATTTTCTCCTTGCTCAGGGAGGCAGCTCGATCTAGGACTGAGTCAGTTGTTGCTGTTCATATCCCATAATTCTCACCTGCTGCAGAGGGTGAGGTCACTGCATGTGCCACAACTCACTTCCAGCTTTATTTGCACAACCTAGTTGGTTTTCCAGCCAAAAAGAGAGATCTGTGTCCTTTACATGAGCTATGTGTGTTATTTTCTGTTTCAATACCTCCAGCTCTGTCACCAGGGACCTTCTGTGGGCTTTTTGGGGCCATTTCTTTTGATAGGTCTGTAGCAGTCCATGAGCCATAGTGGGAGAGGCAAATGGTTCCCCATTAAAAGAGAAGCAGGAATAAAATGTACCCTGTGCTGCAGAGTTTCACTTTCACTGTTCAGACTCATCCCTTGTAGTCATCACCTGACAGTTGTTTCATTTTCAGGTGTAGTATTTGGATTCAGTGTGAAAGCCAATGAAAGCATCAAAAAGCTGGCTGATAAAAAGGGAGTAAAAATTAAACTTCACAACATTATCTACAAGCTTATAGATGATTTGAAGGATGAGCTGAACAGCAGGCTGCCCCCAACTGTGGTGGAGACTACAATAGGTGAGTTTTCATTGATAGATTTTTGCCTCAAAATGTGACAAATTCTGTACTCCTAGAAAAATGCACCCTGCTTCTACCCCGTGCCAGTTTGTTATTCCTGTGGACTTGAGCTTTACCTTTTTCTTTTAGGGGAAGCTTCTGTTCTTGACACCTTCTCTGTTACAGTAGGAAAAAACAAAATTCCAGTGGCTGGATGCAGAGTGCACAAGGGGCTGCTGGACAGGAAAATGAAGTTTAAGCTAATCCGTAACAGGGATGTTATTTGGAAAGGTGAGTGGAATTGGCACAAAACATGGATTTGTGCTTAGTATTTTTAGATATTGCTAGTTCCCTGGGAAGTCAGCACAAAGGATCCTAGAGAAATCCTGAATTCTGTCCAGGATGGAGAGGAAAACCACCAAATGCCAGTGGATTGTTCCCAGATCTTTTCCCAACCACCCACTCTGGCAGGCAAGTAGGAGCATCACAGGATGTACCTGCCAAAGGGAGCTGGTGTCTGACTTCCCTTAACCACAAGCACCCCCCATCCCTACATTTTCCTCCTTTCCTTGTGGAGCCACCAAGTGAAACTAATCCTGCAGGAAGGGCAAACCAAAGCACAGCTCTGCTCTGCTGCTGGTGGCCTGCCTTTCATGCATTTTCTCTTTGTAGGATCTTTATCATCACTGAAGCACCATAAAGATGATGTCCAGGTAATAAAAACAGGAATGGATTGTGGATTGAGTTTGGACAAAAATCTGGAGTTCAGTATTGGAGATGAAATTATCTGTTATGAAGAAAAAGAAGTTCAACAGACAACTTCCTGGGACCCAGGATTTTAAAGACATTTTAACATGTGAACACTAATGGACAAATATTATGATCCTGGCTGGCCTTTAAGTCTTAATATTAAATGAACTTCAGAGATGCACAGGAGCTGTTCTTTACATCAGAGCACTTCAGATACATTTCATATCCAAAATGTTCTGCTTTTCGATCATGTCAAGCAACCAGCTGCCCTGCACTGGAACATGGGATAAACCACTTCAGTAACTCCAAGCACTTAAAAGTGTGTAAAACCAGCATGATAAAATATTCCTGATGACAGTATCTTTGCTCCAAAGTAGCTGAGCCCTCTCCTCCCTCCCCACCCCGTGCTGCTGTGCAGTATTTCAGTGTGTTGGCTGCATTTTGTCACCCACTCCAGCACTGACCCACTCTGGACCTCTGAAGTTGCTATTTTTCCACATCAGAATAATCTCATGTTAAAGAGACCACTTTTAAGGTTAGCTTGGGTGTTGTAAAAGGTTTTCTTCCTTTTACAACTGCTACCCAAAATTCCTTAAATCCAACTGCTGCTTCAGTTTTACACCAAGTATTTCACCCTAGCTGGCTGGCAGCACCCCAAGGTGCACAGATTTTTTTCTCACTGATCAGCAGAGAGGAAACGCAGCGCCACAGAAAGAAATCCTTCAGCCGTACAGAAGCTCAGATTTTTATTGTCTGGTACATTTACTTGTCTTCTGGCTTATTGAAGCAGTATGTCAGACAGCACTTGCCACAGTAGTGCCTGTCAAAGTGACTGGCCATGAAGACTCCAGCCCCACACTCCTCCGAGGGGCACTCCCGGCGCAGGCGGCTGATCTTGCCGTTCTCATCCACCTGGCAAGGACAAACAGGCAATGGCTCAGCTCACCTACTCCCCACCTTTTAGCAACAATAATCATTTTTAGTGTTTTCCAGTGGCATAATGGTTTTTGTAACAGCAACTACACCAAACTTCTTGAGGTATGTGTCAGAAGCGCCCAGCTGCAACAGGTCCTGTGTCTTTTATTTACCACATGGAATATTTGCAAATAGAAGGAGTTTAAATATTAAATACACCAGAATCTGTGCAGACCAATTACAGGCTCCACACCCTCCCTGGTGAGAGCTGAGATTCTATCAATTCCCTCCCCAGTTGTTGTACCTACCTTGTAGTACTTGAGCACTGCAAGCTTAACCTTCTTTCTCTTGTGCTTGTTCTTCTTGGGAGTTGTGTAAGACTTCTTCTTCCTTTTCTTAGCACCACCACGAAGTCTCAGCACCAGGTGAAGGGTTGATTCCTGTTTGTAAAGCACATGAAACAGACTCAAAATGCTTTCTCAAGGCAATTGCAGCATTTAAACAGGCCTCTTTTGTTCTACCTAGAGAAAGAACATCTCAAGTGCCAGGCACACAGGAAAGCTCTAAAAGGATTATTTTCTGTTAAGGTGGCATCCCAAGCTCCCAGCATCAGCACTACTCCAATCCCTCGATTTGGCTGAATTTATTACAAACATTTCTCAGCCTCAGCAGCAAAGGGCAGTCAGCTCTGCCCGTGCCTGCTCCCGGGTGCTGCACTGCAGTGTCCTGCCTTTCCTACTCACTTTCTGAATGTTGTAGTCGGACAGTGTGCGTCCATCCTCCAGCTGCTTCCCAGCGAAGATCAGCCGCTGCTGATCCGGAGGGATGCCTAATGGTGACAGAAACCAGGAATAAATGAGGGACGTGAGCTATATGCTATAATAAAAGCTGAGCTACAGCTATATGCGGTAATAAAACCAAGATTGCTGCAGGGAATTACGCCTGTGTAAGACACACATCAATCCACAAGAGTGAAGGACAGAACAATGTATATAACGTACACTCATCGATATCAATATATAATAGTCAATAAGTGCCTTTAGGACTTACCCTCCTTATCCTGGATCTTCGCTTTTACATTTTCTATAGTATCAGACGGTTCAACCTATTACAAAACAGAACAACGGAATCAAAACGCGCTGCACATTTTAATTATCCCAGCAAGGCCGAAAAGCCACGAGGCGCTCCCGGCACAGGCCCGGTGCAGCCACGGCCTCTCGGGCCCCACCGCGTGCTCGGAGCCGCCCCAGGCAGCGCGGGGCCGCGCTCCCCCACACATCCCGGCCGCTCCCCCACACATCCCCCACACATCCCCGCCGCTCCCGCCGCATCCCGCTGCCTGCCGCCGCACCCCCGCCTTCCGCAGCACCGGCAGGCACGGGCGGCGCGGCGGCTCACCTCGAGGGTGATGGTTTTCCCCGTGAGGGTCTTCACGAAGATCTGCATGGCGAGGCCGGAGCGCGGGCTGCCCGCGCTGCTCGCGGAATGGCGGCGGCGGCCCGAGAGAGCGCCGCGCCCGCACGCACGGGGTTTCCGTGCGCGCCGCAGGGGGGGCGGGCGGCACGCCGGGACTACGGCTCCCGGCATGCTCTGCCAGCGGCGGCCGCGGCCGCGCCTGCTGGGAGATGTAGTCCCGGCGCGGAGGAGTGGGCGGGAACTGCGGCTCCCACAGTGCATCGCGGTGGCCGTCGTGAGGGGAGGAGGAGCCGCCATGAGGGGACGAGGAGGAGCTGTCGTGACGGATGAGGCGGGGCCGCCGTGAGGGGACGAGGAGGAGGAGGAGGAGCCGCCATGACGGGAGGAGCTGCCGTGACGGGTGAGGCGGGGCCGCCGTGAGGGGACGAGGAGGAGCCGCCGTGAGGGGACGAGGAGGAGCCGCCGTGAGGGCGGGGTTCTCCGGCCGTGTGGCTCAGTTTTTCTGTGCGTTTTTCTGGCCGTCGGGGGCATTGTCATTTTAGGGCTAGCAGGTTTTTGATTTATCTGCGTCTTCATCAAGGCCAGATGGGACACGACTTGGAGCAGTCTCGTCTAGGGGGAAGTGTCCCTGCCCATAGCGGGGGATGAAGCTCGATGAGCTTTAAGGTCCTTTCCCACCCAAACTATTCTGGGTTCTGTGAAATCCCAGAATTCCACGTCCTGGTTCTTGAGGAGGCAGTTTAAACACGCCTTACAGCTACTTTGCCACCTGCAGATTCCTCGAGATCAATTCCAGGTTTATACTTGGGCAAAGATCTTTAAAACTAGAGAAGCTGTAAGTAAATTGGAAATAAAGGACTCCCAAGTCACTATTTGGAAATTACTTGTTAGGTGGGATTATGCTTGTGAGTCAAAAATGGGAAAAGCTGAAGCAGAATTGGGATATGCTTGAATAAATAAGCTGGGGCCATTTTAACGATTTCAACCTTTCTGTGTTTTGGTGAGAAGATAAGAAAGTGGGTTGTGCTGGGTGAGGGCTGTCTGAGGAGTGTTACATTGTACACAATAATGCATTTCGTAAGATAACAAACAGTTTTCAAGCAAAGGAGCACTTGACAGTTGGTAAAAAGAAGTGGTTTGCTGTTTTTCTGTCTCCAGTCGGTGTAAGCAGACTGTGACCTCTGTGTTGTGACAGAAATCAAGGATTGATACATTTTCAGCTGTTTTTTGTTCCCCTGTAAACACTGCAGTGGAGTCAGGGTCACTACAATGAATTCATAATCCCAGGAATAACAGTAGGGTTCATGCTTGAAAACTGCTTTTCGTAACTTTGTGGGAGTTTTGAAATGATAAAGCTGTCCTAAACCAGGAGAAAATCAACAAAACTAGAAGGACCCATGACATTTATCTCACATGCCCTGTGCTAGCATTAGCAGCCCTTCTGTGCAAAGGTTCTTGCTGAAATTCCTGAGGGATTCCTGCCTGCCTGCCTAACTGTGCCTTCTTCAGACACTGACATGGGAAAGGCCTAGAATAAATCAAGATTCCAAGTTTTGGAGATGGATAGGAGAAAGGGATGCTGGCTCTCCTTTTAAATCCTGAGTGGGATTGGTGTTTTAAGATCCTACAATGCACAGCCCCTGCTCCCTTGGTTTTCCACAGCTGTAGGTGCAAAGGACATTCAGTGCCCACCCAGAGAAAATAAGTGGTGCTCCAGCTGTCCAAGTAAGTGCTGGTTCCCTTGGTTTTAAATCATATTGGTGGTTATTTAATCTCAGGTGAATGTAGAGACTGCCTCATAATGAAAAGTTGTTCTGCATTGTCATCATCTTGAATGATGGTGCTTTGCTTTTGGGGCTGGGTTTTGTTATCTTAGAGCAGCACCATGAAGCTGCTCTGTTATTTTCTCTGTTCATTTCATTTTCCTTACGCCACACTTATTAGAGTGTTCCAGAAAGTTGTTTTCCTGTTAATTCTCTCTATAAATGTCATATCCAAAAATACATGCAGTATGTTACTGTGTGCAGGGATCTCCTCCCTTCAGCCAAATGGGAATGTGGGGTGTTTATTGCCAGAGTCAAGAATGGTTAAAGGAATGCAGCTTTTTCTTCACAGGAGATTAAAAGCTCTGGAATCTGAGCCCTCAGCTCTGTTATACTATAGGAAAAGATTATTAATTAAGATTAATTTATTTTATTTTTAAAATAATTTTATTTTTAAATATAATTTTAATTTAAGACTTTATTATTAATATTTAAAATATTTGAAAACATGTTAATTAAGACATTGATAATTTAATTGTCTCTGGCTTCTTTCATTTGTATTTTTAAGTGTTGCCATTCTTTTATTTTCATATGGGAGCTGCTAATGATTGTGTAAAACCTTGATAACGTGAAAACCTGAATTTAACTGATGCTGCAAAAGGTGTTTCATGAAAAATTGTCTGCCTGAGGGGATTTTTTCAGTTCTTAAAAAAAAATCCTCAGTTTTAGAAAATATATTTTCATGTAAATCTATTGGTTTATCAAGTTTGTGATTGTTTGGTTTGGGGGTTTTCTAATACTGTTTTTCAAAGGCTTTAACAGTTTTGGCTCTGAATGGATGAGATGGTGCTGGGGTTATCCTGCCCTGCCATGTTCTGTGTTTGTGATGTCCCTGTAAAACAGCTGAAGGGTCACTTGGATGTTTGGAAAGGAGTTTGTGTGCTGTAGCAATGTGCAGTGTCCCAGCTCACACACCAGTGCCCATTCTTTTGGTGACCCTTTGGTGTTTATGGAGGTGCTGCTGTGGCAGCCATGCACACGGAGTCCCCTCTCATCCATTTTCACAGGCTCTTCCCTGGCCCTTTCCCTAAAGGAACTGAAATTGAGAGCTCAGCTCTTCTGTGTTGTTGTGAAAACTGACAAGCAAATCTTCAGTCTGTACAGATGAAAAAAGTGCAGCTTGAGGCTTTTCCAAAAAAATCCAGAGTCCTGGAGGGAGCTGGGCTTTAGATGCTGCTGAAAACCCCAGTAATGCAACAGTCTATTCCTGGGTCTGGGATCTCACTGCTGATGTAATCCCTGGGTATCAAACCCACAAATTAGTTCATTAACTCATCTCCTATAGCCTGCTGAGTAGCTGCTATCAAAAATAGCTCTCTCCTGTTTCTAGCCATTGATTAATTAGATTAGTTCTTCCCAAATCACAGATGCTATATTTTCTGTAATTTCACTTGAAAAGCAATATATTCTAAGAACTTCCAGCCCCTGAGATTTACCTGTCAGTGGTGAAATGTGGCCTTTTCATTCTTCTGTATGTTCTCTTCCTTAGACTGTTGCTTGGTTATGGCACCATTTTTAATCCTTATTTTATTCCCTGGCCACATTTCAGACCATTTTATGGAGGATTTTCAGGTTACCATCTCTTCTAGTGTTTCCTGATATTGTCATTCTAGGACCTTTCTATTTACAGGAATAAAATGTTCTTTGTATCCATGTTTTCAGGTAAAAGGTTGGGTATTAATATCACGTCCAGCCTTTCCACAGTGTTCAGGGAAATCAGTCAAGATCATGGTGTGGCTTTATGGCAGGGAAAGGGAGAGGTAACTATACACAAATACAGGATAATCCTGCTAGCTGATTTTTCAGATCATTGCTTCTTTCTGTTGGAAAACTGTCCTAACACTGCATTAATTCACTGTCTCAGCCAACAGTGGATTAGAAAACTACAATTTTCATTTATGAGGGCTGGCTTTAACCTAAAAAGATTTTTTACCCAAAAGATGGGTTTGGGCTGCTGGAAGAAATGAGCAAATAAAGAAAACACAACAAAAATTTAATAACAAACTTTGAAACGTGAAATTTTAACTTAGCTCTGATTCCAGCCTACAAATTACTTTGGATTCAGCACTCCCTTGGGCAGCTTTCCATGGAGACAACTCTGCAGGCACTTGGCTTTCAGTGGAGCCTCTGTGAGCTGACTCCTGGGCAAGCTGCAGCTGCAGCACTTGGTGCTTAGGACACACAAAAATAAACAGAGTGCTGCCTGGTTCCAAGGTCTGCAAGTTTTCAGAGGAGCTTTTCCTTGCACTGCCAGACCCAGGGGCAGAAGCTCTCCAGGCAGCAGGAACCCAAGCCAAGGGCAGACAACTGCAGCAAATCACACGGGCAGCAAGTGCCAGGAGAGCACTCTGCAGACAAGCTAACACATATCTGCCTGGACTGAGCTAGAGAAGTGCTTAAAGACAAAATCTCTGAAAATTAGCTTTTCTGCATCCACACATAGTCATTTGCATCCAATGTGCTTTTTGTGTCTTGCTCCAGTACACTGCCCTTGACTCTGTGCCTGCAGCTCCTCTGTCATTCTGCTGCTGTCATGGGTTTCACAAATGATTTTGAGTGCAAGCAGGGGTTTTGGCCTTTAAACCTTTTAAATTAAAATACATGCTATTTCTCTTCATTAATTTCATCACCTTTATTTTTTTCAACTCAGTGTTTGGATTTCTAATCCACATTGAAATCAGTGAGTTCCACAGTATGTTTAGTATGAATAGTAAAAAGCTTTTTAGGGCAAATTCAGGATATTTAAATGTGGGGTTTACTTTTCCTTAGATGCATTGTTATTCTGAATGATGCCACCAGTACTCAGTAAGGCTGGGCTAAGACAGAAGTTGCCTGGGAGAAAATAAGCATGACAAGTTATCTCAGGATGGAATACTTGAAGATGAGAAAGTTCCAGGCTGCAGGAACGTGTTTGCTGGTCGCTCCTCTGCTCAACAACAGAGGGAGCACTTAGAGCAGGCAAGTGAAGAATCCTCCTCGGTCAGGACGAGCTGTAGGAAGCAATGAGCATTACAAACAATGCTGACAATGCTCCTACCACCAATATGTCTGTGTGAGAATGTGTGCATGTTTGTATTTTAACTGGAAGTACATTCTCCGTGGAGAAGAAAGCTCTGCGGTGGGATGGAAATGGAATGGAAATGGTTTGTGATTGTGTTGCCAGCTGCAGTACATCAGCTCCGTCCTTGCTGCAGTCTGCACAGGGGTTTAGGGTCAGTGTGAGTGAACTGCTTCTGAGTGCTCCCTCCTTAGGGAGCTGCAGGGTAGGCACGTCCCAGTGCTTGGTCTTTTTGGTTTGTTCCCTGCTAGGTCATTGCTGAGTCACAGCACAAATGAGATTATCAAGGTAATTAACAAAGCCTGTCAAAACAACAAACTGCCTAGAACAAACGGAGGCTTTAGTCACGTGCACCCACGGGCTCCTTGGGCTGCTGTGGGAATGGTCTGGCTTGTGAGAGCCAGTATGAGCTTGGCCCAGGCTGATCCTGAAGAAATGGATAATTGAGCCTTAAGGAAGGAAAGATGCCCACTGCAGCTTCCCTGGGTGCCTGTTGGCAGAGCCTCCTTTAGCTCAGCCCACAGCCAGTATCAACAGGAAGAACACTGAATGTCTTTTGCTCTTGTAACTGTGATACATGTTGCCAAAGAACATTTATCTCAGTAATTAAGCTACATGTAGCTACTGCTGGTTTGTTTCAGTTTTAATACATTTTGGCACTCTTTAAAAGCATATTTATTATATGGATAAATCTGCAGAGTTAGGATTCACAAGAGAACTGTAGTTAAAAGAAGAATTACTTCTGTAGAGATATTGTGTGGATGAGGAATAGAGAAAGGTATGGAAGTTCACTGTTCAACAGGTAGAGTGATACACCCTCAAGTACATAACCCTTCAGAATGTAACCCAATGTGGATCAGATTTTGACCAAAAGAGTGAAAACAGTGAATGAAAAGGTCACTCAGTGACTTTGTTACTGCACAGAAGCTGACCATGCAAGACAGCAGTGCAGGTGTAAGTGCCACACTCCCCAGAGTGATTTCATGGCTCTTGTTTAATGTTTGCAGCAGCTGAGAAGTGAAAGTGCTTGTTAAATCAAACGAGACAGTGGTGGACCAAACCACAAAGTCTGAGTCTCTTTTTCCCCTTTGTAGCCATTTTCACAGTGCAGCAGGGGTTTCTAGCAGGGAAGCATGATCAAAATGCAGGCCTGAGTTAGGTGCTTCTGTTGTTGACCCATTTGCTTGTTGGTTGGTTTTTATTCAGCATCCTCTGGAAGTGTTAGAAATCAAGCTCCATGGGGAAGTGCGGGTGCAGTGTCAAATGAACACTGTCTAAAGCAAACTGAGAAGGGTTGTACTGGTGTGGCCTCGTGTGCCTCTTTTTCCTTAGAAGAGCCTGGTGTCTCCCAATCCAAGACTCAGTTGCTATTCATCCATTGAGATTTAAACCAGTTTAGATGCATGCTTTATTCAGTAACCTCAACAATTTTCAATCACTTCATCCTGGAAAAAGAAACAACCCTCTCTAAAAAATTCTCTAGCAAGATGGCAATATACTTTTACCCATATACTTTTACTGCCCATAAAAGCCAAGCTGTATTTTAGCAATATTAAACACCCAAAGTTACAAATAAAGAAGAAATGGAGTTTCATGAAAGCTAGAGACGTCTGTAAATGCCCAAACAAGTCTAAGGATCCCTGCCTTGCAAAACTTTGCCTGCAGTCTCAGATATTATTTTGAAGGAAAGGTAGGTGGTTTCAAAACAGGAGGAGCATGAGTGCTGCCTTGTCACCTCAGTGGTAAGAGAGATTCTGAAATGTTATGGATACTGGTAGTACTCATACTTATTTTTTCTTTTTTATTATTCAAACCTAGATTTTATCATTTTCTCAATGCCTGACTGACTTGGGTGACACTGTCTAGTCAAAATATGAGAAAGTAGTTGTGAGTTTCTAAAATACTTGAAGAAGGAACAAAAGATACAGGTGCACAGCATCATGGTCATATGCAATTTATTACTGCCAGCCTGTGAGAAGCTGAATTTCTTCCTGTCTGTGCTTGACTGGTGTGCTGCAGACACTCCCAAAGGTCAGCCACACCATTATACTTTGATTTATGCAGAAATTAGGCTGTTAACTAACAAGATCTTACTGAATGGGACATTAAAGCTGTGGGAATGAGAGGAAATGGGAGGTTGCTTCCATAGTCTGTGCCCAGCACACTTACCTGAAGGAGGAAGTCATAAGCTGTTCTTCCTGCTTCATGGGATTCTTCTGATTTAAAATTAATTGATTATTCATCTTCTGTCTTTAATTCATTATTCACTGAAAAAGTACAAAGCCCATCCAAGATCCACTTCCAGCTCAGTGCATTTACCACACAGAAGATAATTTTGCTCCAGCACCTCACTAAGAAATTTTATTAGAGCTTGAGGCAGTGATAATATTATTTTTATTCAAGTCTTGTCTTTGTGAGGTTTTTTTTAATATTACTCTGACAGATTTTATGGAGTGGAGATGGGCATGACTAAGCTTTTTGTCTGCTTTAAGCACAAATCTCTTATGTGATGTGAGAGTTAGGTTTTCTGAAGTCATCCAAAGCCAAATAAAATTTTGTGTTACAGCTTTTACCAAACAAAAATCATGGGTAGAAGGTTATCTGTGTAAAAGAATTTGTGTTGATGAAGAGATAAATGATAAAGGTATTGATGAGGGTTTATACTGATAAGAGTCTGTACGTGATATTCATTAGGACCTTTTGAGGGAAATCAGGATATTAATTATTTTTAATGTTGTTTCTTCAAGCTCTTACCATTATTTCACTTTTTTCTTCTACCTTCCTTGTACCCCCATGGGCAAATTGTATTCATTAGGACCTTTTGAGGGAAATCAGGATATTAATTATTTTTAATCTTGTTTCTTCAAGCTCTTGCCATTATTTCACTTTTTTTCTTCTATCTTCCTTGTACCCCCATGGGCAAATCATCCTTCTACTTGAAATCTCAGCATGGGAGGAGCAATCTTTGCCTGGCAGAAGATTAATGATATTACATGGTGACCTAAGAGGGTAAATGTGGTCTATTTCCATCCCTCTGTAATCCCATGGAAATCCATGAGTCACACTGAGGATGCTTGGCCTTGCTCCCTTTCCTTCCCTCACTCCATGACTTTTCTGCTCTCAAAGCTGGATGCAGCCACGTGATTTGTTCCAGGCATTGGTCAGAGCCATGGAAAAGGCACCTCTGGCCAATGATCCAGCTCTCCCAAGCACAATTACTCCCAAGCCTGCAGACAGGAACACTTTTGACAAATGGTTTGGAAGCTTCCAGATGCGCTGACAAATCCTGGAAGTTTTATTCCAAGTTAATGGATGGAATCTGCTGTCTAGTCACAGTGCTCGAGACTTCATTAATTAAAGCTTCTCCCTGAATTTAGTAAGCCATAAATTCTGGCCTGTGCTCTGCTCTGATGATGCTCAGTCTGGCTATTCTGCTGGATAGCTGAAAATGGGAGTAGGTTATCTCTGGAGAAAGCAGAGCAAAAAATGCAGGATTATCTTCTGAGGTTTTTGTGGTTGAACTCCAGTTGTTCTCTATTTTATGCTCTGCAAAAATAAGCATAGTCTAAAAACAAAATATTTTTTTAAAGTTCTATAAATACAGTGCAGGGGGCAGGATTAGCGAGCATGCAGCTGCTGAAGGCACTTGGGTAAGGTGGAGTAAATTGATTTTGAATGAAGCTCACACTGGAATTTCAAAGG